CACACACACACACACACACGCACGCGCGCCGTCACTCGACTCAGCCCTTTCTCACCACCGCCAAACACTCGTAGCAATCTCCAAAGCTGGATCAAAAAAAAGACTGACGAATTGCATGCGCGCTTCGAGCAGAGGTATACAAGATGCCCCGCAGGTCGTTGCGACTCTGGGCGGGGGATGCGAAGTAGAGAGCGAGCGAGACAAAAGACACGAGGGAAACTACAGCGGGACCAAACGACGCGAAACGAGCAACGGCTAATGTTACATCTTCACATCAAAGCTGGCGGACGGGCGAGCCGATGCTCGGCGTCAACCATCAGAGTTGCAAAGTGGATCCCATTTAGGATCGCTCGCCACGCAGTCGTCGCGCGAGGGCGATGTCCTTGGGCTGGATGGTGACACGCTTGGCGTGGATAGCAGCCAGGTTGGTGTCCTCGAACAGCGACACGAGGTAGGCCTGGATAAAAGCAACAACGAAAACAGGAGAGAGAGGTCAGCAAGTCGATTCGGGGTCGAGTCATGCGGGTGTAGAATGGTAAAAACGTACCTCGGCAGCCTCCTGGAGGGCGCCAATAGCCGACGACTGGAATCGCAGGTCGGTCTTGAAGTCCTGAGCGATCTCACGCACAAGACGCTGGAAGGGCAGCTTGCGGATGAGGAGCTCGGTCGACTTCTGGTAGCGACGAATCTCACGAAGAGCGACGGTACCGGGCTTGTATCGGTGGGGCTTCTTGACACCACCGGCGGCGGGGGCCGACTTGCGTGCGGCCTTGGTGGCGAGCTGCTTACGGGGGGCCTTACCACCCGTGGACTTTCGGGCTGTCTGCTTGGTACGAGCCATCTTTCTGTTGCGTGTTGAACCAGCGCAGAGGACGGCGACGGGTCAAGATGTCGATGGTGGCGAAAAAGAGAGGTCGATGGCGGTCGCGATGTATTGGTGGTGATGGCGACGCGACAGTTGTGGTGGTGGTCGGGACGAAACAGGCGATGTCGAAGAGAGGCGCGGATAAGCGTGCAGGCGCATTTCGCGGATGGATGCGCAGCAGAGCAGTGGCGGGCCGTGAAATTGAGCGAAAATCGGATCCGAAAAAATGCCGGGACGAGTGGAGGACCGTGAGCAACAGTGACACCATCCGAGTCCAAGATGATGACGAGATCAGAGCGAGCGCGTTGGTGGCGGTGACGGTGAGTGGAACACAACGAGGCACGAGAGCAGAGGAAAACGAAGCACGATATGCAACGT